TGGCTTCGCTCACATTTACGGAGACGGATCACCTATGCTTTTTATTATTGTGGGATTATGGTAGGAAATTCCAGCAAGTAGCGCAACCGCGAAATAAGACGCTTAGAAAAAGTTCTCGAAAGAAATCTAAAAAATTGTAACGGATTTTTACGTATGTTGATTTTACCCTACTTTGCATGAGTTTTACAAGCTTTCAAATGTGTAATGACCTTTCCGAGAAGCATTGAAAAACATTTGTTACGGTTTGCCTGGCACAACTTGGGAAAGTTACGTTGAATGCAAGTTTTAAACCTAAAATGAGTAACTCTGAAAGTATAATGTAAGCTAGCAGGAAAGTCATACAGCGCGACCGGGATTGCGCTGTTTTCATATTTGAGGTGTACGCAACTTAACGTATAAAAATTGAAGTTGTTAGTTTTGCCGGCCTATTGCCTTTGAAAACGCTGTCTTATGGTTGGATTACGGCAGTCAGTTCAACTCCAGTATTATTATACAACAAATACATTCTGTCTTCCTTCTGTGTTCGTCGGAGTGAATATTACATCACACTGAGAATAGAAAGTCACCTCCTGTCAACTTTGTCTATCATCTTTTGAAAATCGTCTGCTGTTGGCTGCAAAGCGTCGGCGCGAGTTATGGTAGCACGGCTTGCGGCGTCACCAGTTCGTAGAACATCATCCAAAAAATCATCACCGAATGGGTCTAAACTGTAGTGTATATATCATACCTATCTGGACATAACCGACCATATTCCTTCTGTTCCTTTGACTTGTTATTGGCTCGTGGATCAAAGGAATCGTCAAAAACATCTTCCATATGTTCCAAGTCGAGGTTCTGCAAACGCCGACCAACCTCAAGATAATCAGATTATTTGGTTGAACTACATTCCAACTAACATTACATGGGAAGCGTGACCAAACCTCTGGAGCCGGAACGGTATGAGCACGAACCGGTCCCTGCCTCCTTGGAGCCACTGGAGGAGGAGGGGCAAGCGTCGGCACAGGACAAGGAGGTGGAATTTGAGAAGGAGCAGGTCCAGAAGGGGAACAGTGAGGAGTCACGCTGGTATGCCCTAAGAAAGTAATGAACATCACACCAATACCGATTATGAGCCACCAATCACCATTAATTGCAGAGCCAGTATTAATTGTTGTAGGGATATGAGATGTGTTGGTCACGAGTCCACTGAGGAATGGGTCGCTAGGCAATATGGGTGCTGAGTGTGGAGTGGAGTAAAGTGACTGTAATTTTTACTTGGGTCAACCGCTAACAACTCAAAAACAGAACCAACATTATTGGCTAAGCCTGGAGGTGGACCCGAGGGCATTGGCGTGGATGGCAGTGAAGGTGCGTCCAACAATGACATCTAGGCATGACCGAACCATAGAAGCCCAAAAAGTTCTTGAAAAAATAAACATGCCTGCGGTGTCTTATTTGCTCGAATAGCCTCTGCCAAACGTTGGCTAAGAACTTGGTTTTCAGCTTCCAATTCTGCTATTCTCTTGCGAAGAACAAACACCTATGTATTAGTATTAAGACATTACAGAAACTCGATACTAAGCAAATTTGAGCAAGAGGTTTCGCATAATAGCCAAATACGACTGTGATGAATTACTGTGGACCTGTACATCGTTTCGTATCAGATCTCAAAAAATCCCGTGCACTAAAAGCCAATGATCTTTTCGAACATTGGGTTTCCAGATCTATTGCCCCTGCATGTAAATCCCAGCTGGAAGGGGAGCTGGGGTTGGTCGCATCACATCTCGCTGCTCTAGATATATGTACCTTTCTTTATATTTCTATTATATTTTACGAAGGTCCTCACCTGATGCAGGAGCATAGGGGATGAAAGAAGGTTGCCGTTTAAAGACATCGTCTACCCAAATTCTCAACATCCAAGTTTTTGTCGTTTTCAGACTGAAGGCCCTAATTTCGAAAATGGAGTCGAGACCGCGATACCCTTAAAAAATCCCCATTTTGGAAAACCCGGGGGATGGGGTGCTGCAAGTCGCAGGGCTGCGGTGCCTATACTCCGGGCGCCTGCAAACCTGCATGCCTGCAGAACCTGCAAAATGGGGAGTGACCAGGTGGATCGCGTGACAAGCCTCGAATACGTTCCTTCCGGAGCGGATTTCTCCGGGAAGCAATCTCTTACTGCTCAACTAGGGGTTTGCTTAGTGTGGGGGCCCACACTAGTATGCCATCATACCATGATTGCATATGATATCATCATATCAATTATGATACGTACCATGATTTGGAGTTTATGAGAAGACAGACAACTCCGAAAGGAAAGGATGCTCCCAAGGGGATCACAGAAAATAGTGAAAACCTCATCTTGTTATGCTCAGA